AGAACCCTGTGGCACCCCACTGGTCACTTCTCTCCAGGATGAAAAGAGATGTAGTTCATCCCCCTCCCTGCCCTTTTTGCCCCCCACAAAAGAGGCAGTCTGGGGAGTCTGGAGTGGTCAAAGACCCCATTAATCTCACTGTTTGTGTGCCCAGTCCTTTCCTCACAATGACCGTTGAAGCAGATTTCGCTGAGAAGAAGTGCTTTTGAATCATAGAATCATAGAATCATAGAATCATAGAGTTGGAAGAGACCACAAGGGCCATCCAGTCCAACCCCATTCTGCCATGCAGGAACTCCCAATCAAAGCATCCCCAACAGATGGCCATCCAGCCTCTGCTTAAAGACCTCCAAGGAAGGAGACGCCACCACACTCCGAGGGAGTGTGTTCCACAGTCAAACAGCCCTTACTGTTCAGCATAAACCCAGTACAAGTTTTGGCTCGGGTGGATTTGAATCTGGGACTCTCTGCTCCCAGCCCCATTCCATGATTACTGAGACCAAATCCTGGCATCCACTCATACACAGGTATGGAATATACACACAACTCTGTATTTGCATGGAATAGACAAACAGCTTGGTATTTGTATTTGTCCTGTTGCTTCCGATGGATATTTCTTATTGTACAGGCAGCTCTCCATATCCACAGATTCTTTCTCCATGGATTCAACTATCGACAGCTTGAAAACATTCCAAAAAGCAAACCTTGATTTTGCTATTTTATATAAGGAACACCATTTTACTATGCCATTATATTTAATGGGACTTGTGCAGCCCCAGATTTTGGTATCCCAGCAGATACCAAGGTCCCACTGTTTTATATATATATATATATATATATATATATGCAATATATTTTTGTGTGGGTGGGGTTGAATGGTTTGAGAACAGTCATAATTCTTCACCTTCCACCTTCAATGCCTCCGTTCCTTATTTATATTCCATTTATTATATTTATTGCCTTATACCCAAGCTTTTAGTCCATGTAGATCTCTGTATAGATGCCCATGTTTTAGCTTTGATTTGGGTGTGTCAGCCAATACTTTATACGTCCTCCAGTGCTACATTTCACAGTCAATCCCCAACAGCACTCTCAAAATATTGGTCATCATCACAATGTTGTGGCCATTGTGAAATGCACTATATTGTGAAACCTCTGTGGCTGACCCCTTACAAGGCTGTGAATCTTCTTTTTGGATGTGTGATGAATAATATATATATATATATATATCACACAACCAATAGTGGCTTGCTGGTTTGTGAAGTTGGTGATACAGTCCGTAACATGATACTTCCATTGAATCCACTTGGGTTTTGTGTGCAGGCTTTTGAGTTGCACAGGGCTCTTTGCCAAGGGAGATCTGGCGGGGAGAAGGAAGCATTTTCCTGCAATGCAAAATTGAATTATGTGATTGATTGTCGCAAGTTATTATGAAGGCCACTGTCATCCCTGAGGGTTGATCCATAAGTGACAATTAGCCAGAAGAGTTAAGAAAGCTTTAAGGAACGTCATCGTGTATTTGGTGCATTTTGGTTGTCTGAATAAAGGTATCACTTTTTTGTGGATTTTGGATGTTCTTGTACTTTAGGAAATAGTGTACCCCTGGTTGCTGGGAAGAATCAGCAAGGGTCAGCCCTTTCTCTCTCTCTTTCTCTCTTTTGTGCCTTGCTAGTGAGTAGGTGAGAGACAGCGTGGCTTAGTGGTTTGAGTGTTAGACTCGGAAGGACTCTGGAGATCAGGGTTCGATGCCCCGCTCAGCCATGAAACCCACTGGGTGAGCTTGGGCAAGCTATACTCTCTCAGCCTCAAGGGAAGGCAACAGCAAACCTCCTCTGGACAAATCTTGCCAAGAAAACCCCATGATAGGGTCACCTTAGGGTTGCCATAAGTTGGAAGTGACTTGAAGGCACATGACAACAAAGTGTGTAGGCATCTAGTTGGCAGAGTACTAGGATGACCTGTCTGATGATGGGTTCTGTGAACCTCCAAAGCTTGCATACCTTAAAGTGGCTGAAATGGGTCCAGCTGACCCACTTTCTTGCTTCTGTGCTCCACACTGTCTCCTAGGGATGGCATTTTATGCACGATCCCTTGAGATCCCTTGTGTACCTGTTTGCCTTGTTCAACTACAATGGCCCCTTGGTATCTGCTGGGATTTGGCTCCAGGATAACAAAATCTGTGGATGTTTAAGTCTCATTAAATACAGTGGATGCAGTAAAATGGTGTCCCTTACATAAAATGACAAAATCCAGCCTTGCTTTTTGGAATTTAATATTTGTAAAATATTTGTAAGCTGTGGATGCTTGGATCTGTAGATTTTTAAAAAGTGTATAAGGAGGACTGACTGTACCACTTTTTTCCTTGCCTTCTCCCTTTATGGTTCCTTTCCTGCTCCATTTTCAAAATTTCTAGATGGCATTTGTTTCATTCAGGAGGTGACCTTAAACAGGGCCAGCCCTACTTCTAGCCAGAATGGAGCCACTATCTCAGATGGCAGATGCTAGGGGACATCAATGGCAACCTTGGTCCATCCATCCCTGCATCCTGCATCTCCAAGGCCATTCTCTTCTGTTGGAGGATAGAGATGGTTTCAGCGACCGTGGGGCACCCATATTTCATGCCAGGGTGGGCAGAATTTTCTAGAATGGCTTGTATCTAAGTGGGTGAGACTCCTCATACATTTCTCAAATGCAAAAGTTTCTATTCCACATTCATTGGACCTCAGAAACATCAGTTGCATCATTCTGGACTTGTTAAATAATATCAACAATTAAGGAGGTTATGGGCAGAAAATCAGTGTGGCAGAGTGGTTTGAGTATTGGACTAAGAGACTGGGCTTTGATTCCCTGCTCAGCCATGAAACCCACTGGGTGACCTTGGGCAAGTCACATACTCTCAGCCTTAGGAGAAGGCAATGGCATGTGTTCTGATGAGAGCTAGGTGGAAGAAATCTTTGAACAAATCTTACCAAGAAAACCCATGATAGGATCTCCTTAGGATTGCCATAAGTCGGAAATGACTTGAAGGCACACAAGAACAGCAACAAGATTGTGGACAAGAGCATTGAAAAGTTACTCTGTTTTGGACCCAAGCTCCTGGAACCCACCCCCAAACAGTATGGCCAATGGTTATAATGGTTTGATGGATTGTGGAATGTGTAGTTCACAAGAGTTGTTTCCTCCAAAGTCTGCTCTGGACAATGGTTTTCTCAGTGCATTCTTAGATGATGACGTGTGTCGTTTCAGTTGCTTCAAAATGTGAGATGTCAGTTGGTTCCATTTAGGGTTTCCCCATTTAGGGTTTCCTCTGCTAAGGGTGTAGAAATAATGCAGTTTGACACCACTTGTAAGTGCTGTTGCTCCATCCTAGGGAATTGTGGGATTTGTAGTACTTTACACAATCTTTAGCCTCGTCTGCCAAAGAGTCTTGATGTCTCACCAAACTACAAATCCCAGGATTCTGTAGTATGGAGCCCTGGCAGTTAAAGTGGTATCCAACTCCAGTTCGGTGAAGTGGTTTGAGCATTGGACTATGCCTCTGGAGACCAGGATTCGAATCCTGGCTCAGCCGTGTAAACCCACTGGGTGACCTTGGGCAGTTCACATGCTCTCAACCTCAGGGGAAGGCAATGGCAACCCTCCTTTGAACCGATCTTTCCAAGAAAACTCTGTGATTGGGTCGCCTTAGGGTCTCCATAAGTCAAAGCACACAACAACAAGGTGCACCCTAAGTGGAAACCAGGTCCCAAGGTTCAGTCCTGATGGCATCACTCTGCGGACATGCAACTGAATGATAAGTGCAAAGAGTCTGCTGTTGCATCTCTGCATGAGAAACAGATTTAGGACCTGTCCAGTTAAGAATCGCCTGGCACGAGGGCAGTCATTCGGAGTGTGTCTGGCTGGTTTACTCAGATGCTGGGAAGAGTAAACTCTCTTCTGAAAACTCATGCAGAACATAAGAGGGGTGCTCCTCTGGGGTCAGGATCTTTGCTGTTGTTTGTTGTCATGTGCCTCAAAGTCATTTTTTACTTATGGTGATCCTAAGACAAACCTATCAAGGGGTTTTCTTGACAAGTTTCTTCAGATGAGGTTTGCCATTGCCTTCCCTTGAGGCTGAGAGAGTGTACCAAGTTTTCCCCCTCGCCCTGCCAGATTTGTTAGATTGTAGACCTGCCAGATCATTCCTCAGCCAACAGGGCCACCTCAGAAAGCATGGGGTAGCCAATGTTCTCATATGTCAGCCTCCCCTTTCCCTAATCTTTGGTCCTCCCACATTTTGCTAGACTGCAGTTCCCATCCTCCCCAGTCAGTATGGTGAGACTTGCAGTGCAATGCCTCTGGAGGCCTCTGAGTTGGGGAAGACTGTTTTGTTTGAACATGCAATGATGCAAACTTGCAAAAGGGTTTTTTTTACTACAATTCCCAGAATCCCCTAGCCAGCATGGTTCTGGGAGCTGTGGTCCAAAGAATAGTTTCTTTTTCCAAGTCGTGCTTCTTGATGTGGGATAATGTGTGGTTCATTTTTTGGTGAGTTTGCTGACGCCGCTTGCAGAGATGCAAATGAAGCAGAATCTAACATTAGAAAAAAGCTCTCCTGGACCAAACCCAATGTCCATTTAGCCCAGCATCCTGTTTTCAGCAGTGGACAGTGCAATGCTTCCAGGAAACCCACGCGAAAAATAAGATTATACAACCCTTCTTCAGTGGCATTTGGTGTTCCAAGATACAACGCTTTGAAACATAGACGTTCCACCACCTAGTTCTCATCGGAACATATGACAAAAGCCTCTCTTTTTTGGACTACAACTCCCAGAACTCCGTAACCAGTACACTGGCTGGGGGGTTCTGGGAGTTGTAGTCCAAAGAAGGTAGTTTTTACCAACATATTTAAATGAATGAATGAATGAAATTTTATTACAGTCAATGACCAGCAAAAGAAAAAAAAACATTATAAAAGCAATGTCATACATCAGGGGTAGGCAACCTTTTCCCTTTAAGGACTGAGGGACTTCAGTTCCCAGAAGCCTCAGCCATGTTGGCCAATAGTCCCATGTTGGCCAATAGCTCCTGGGATTCTGGGAGCTGAAGTCCTTCGGCCCTTAAAGGGGAAAGGTTGCCTACCCCTGTCATACATGATAAAAAGGAATTGTACAAGATAGTACAGTATTATACAAAATGAAATACTACATATTTAAATAGTCGTGGATGTCAGTGTCCTCCATGAGCCAGGATGTCTGGGAAATTGTTTTTATTTATTTTATTTATTTCATTATTTTATTTATTTTATTTATTTCATTTCAAGGATTTATATCCTGCTTTTCTCCCACTATAGGATTCATTGCAGTCCAAAGAAGGAAATTTTTACCAACGTATCTAAATAGCCATGGATGTCCATGTTTTTACCAACATATCTAAATACATTCAGCCCTCCACATTTTAAACTTTGACTTTTGTAGATTTGATTATTCACAGATTTGTTCAATATGTTCTCTCTAGGAATTTCTCGGTCCTCCACCATGACTCTATGGCCAACCTGTGCCAGACGGTTCCTAGAGAGAACACTTCTCTGGGCATCTGTAGGTCTCCCAGCGCAATTTTATGGTCAACCTCCAGTGGATATTGACCACAGAGTTGCACTGGAGGACCTAGAGATTCCTAGAGAGGTATTCTCTCCAGACTGAAAAAAATACAGTAGTGGTTTTTTGATGGTTTTTCCACTTTCTTTTTAAAAAAATTTTACATATCATCCTCATACATATTTCAGTACTAACCAAATTTTCTAGTTCTTTAACTTCCATCTAGTATTCTCTTCAAAGCAGACTTATTTCTGTAATTATTTTTTATCCTTCTCATTGATCATAATATATATCCCATCCTTATGTTATTCTTCCCCTTGTCATTTTTAATCTCATTTCTTGTGATTCGTTTCCCCTTGCTAATTTGAAAACTCATTAAAGCAACCCCTTTGTTTCGTCTTCTCCTTTCTTTAATTACTTTTCATACTATTTTTCCCCCACATACTTTATGTGTTTTTCCATTTGTATTTTTATTCTAATATTTCTTTGTTGCTTGTTTTCTTATTTAACTTGTATCTATATACTTGATTAATAAAAAAATCTTGTTTATTTCCCCTTTCCCCTTGCAGAAATTGACTTTCCACTTTCATGGGGGTCCGGTGTCCCCAACCCCAGCAAATGCGGAGGATCCACTGTTATCATGGATGTCAATGTCCTCCATGAGAGCTTTTTTGGTTTTAGTGAATCCTTGCCTGTTGAAAATGGACGTGTGTGATAACTGATCTCTCTGTGTTGCACAAACACACACACACTCACGCCACTCATCCTAGGTTTTCTTGTGTCTCCTTCCATCTTCAGAGTTGATTTTCCCCAAGCCTTTTTCCTTTTCCTTCCCTGGCTGAGCATCCTGGTTTATTTGACATGACTCAGGTCCCTAGTGGGAGCCAAGCCATCCATCCAGGATGCAGGATCATAAATCACAGGGAGGAACGGCTGGAGTACCGAGGGATGGTCTGACTGACTCAGCACCACTTGGTCCCAAAAGGCCATTTGGGACTGTGACAATATTACCCATTTCCCAACCATCCTTCCTAGCCTTCTGCAACAGGAACGGAGGAGAAAGGGAGCTGGCAATTGCCCAAGGGGAAGACATGTGCCTTGGTCACACTCGAACCGATTTCAGCCCCGATTGTGTTCGGGGTGAATCGGCACAAGTCCGCCTGAACCGGTTCTTTTGAATCCAGA